CACCTTTGAAGAACTCCTGTAAACTAGTACAAATTTTTCATCAGAAACAAAACCATCCTGAAGCTTTTCCCTGATTTGCTACTTCAATTTTGTGATTGTACCAAACTTCAAACATATACACATATATGAATATATGTGTATATATATCATCAATATTAACTCTATTAATAAACTTGATTGAGCAATTCATCTTTATCCCTCTCTGAGAAGGTATTCAATAGTTTCCTGTTGATTGATTATTAAATTCCCACTTGGTTGCATGCATACTAAGAAAAGAATTTGATCACGTAAAACTATTGGGATGAAGGGAAAATGAATGCAAAAGAAGAAAAAAACCTCATTGTTTTCCAGAAATTATTGTATTTGTCTTGCAATAGACTACTATGAATTTTTCTTTCTAGGAAAATCTCATGACTCCTCTTAATTATGCTTGTGCATGTGTTTCATGATATTTTTCTGGTGCTTCTCTCAGACAAAAAAACATGGCCGTATTGAACCCCAATAGAGACCTTTACTGCCACAAACTTTAAAGATTCTGGAATCATTAAATCGACTGATTCAACTTTGTGTTATTTCAATGTACTTTTACTTTGTTGTTGATGAACTGCAGTGAAGAAGAATGAGCAAGTTTGTTTATCTATGTGATCTTTTCTTGGAGTGATGATGATGGAAAAGCAAGGCTAAGAAGTTCACCTGATCCAAGACGAAGTACAACCATGCCACAAACTTGTTACAGTGACATGGATTCTTCCCCAGCCAAGTGAAGGCCATGCACCTGAAGAGATGGAGAAGATGATACCCAGCAACGACGGAAAAGACGACGGTCATCACCCTGCAGCAGCAGCAGCAGCAGCAGCAGGACTAAGAAGCACATCCTAGTGAAGAGAGGAAGAGTCATGGAGGAAGGTAGCAGACTCACCACAGTGCATCCATGTCCTTAACAGTGGCTGTTCTGGTGACGAAGAAGACTGTCTTGGTCTGCGTGTCCAACCCTACAAGAAGAGCAGCCATGGCAGCGAACACCAGCGACAAGATCCTCAACACACTCTCAGCTCTCAACACCTTGCTTCCCATTCTCTCCTCCTCCTCCTCCTCCTCCTCCTCCTCCTCTCTTTTTCTATTCTTCTTCTTTCTCCTCCTCTCCTGCTGTTGCTTCTGCCGTGGACTCGACCCCAAGTTATAGACCGGGAAAGATGAGGAAGAGGTCTGCAGATGGGCACTGAGAAAAACCAACAGCAGAGGGAGAAGACCTGTCGGCGTCAGGTGGTTACCTTTCGCTTCGGAACACCTACTGTAGGAAAGGACGACATTGGCGGAGGTTCCATGGATCGAGACGAGACTTAGCAGTGATACTTCGAACAAATTAGTGATCGTAAATGCACCCTGCAAATAATTGACATGCACATTTTTCGTTCAATTGGGTGATTCCTAAACAGCATATGAAACCCGTGATGTGGTTTCTTTCTCTTTCATTCTTACAATTAAAAAAAATATTTTTTTTTTTTGTTCGATCCAAGTTTTATCACATACAGATGATTATGATAAGGACATCTAACTGTATGGGTAATTAAGCAACACCCACAATAAAGTGTGAAGAAAACTAAAGGTGCCCAAAATTAATTGGCGGATGAACGAATCTATAATACAGATCCAAGTTTTTATTTTTTGTTTGTTTGTTTATGACAGCAAATCATATTTTTATAAGATGTTGACCAACCAATATGTCTCCAATGTTGGTCAACATATGAACACCGACAGGGGCATAAAAGGAAGAAAACTAAGGGTAGAATGGGAAAAGCAGATAGAGGTACATTCTCAAGAAGAGACATATGTCCTATATCTTTTAATTACCAAAAAAAGCGTTTTTTTCCTCATTAATTGGATGCATCTGATCATACTATGAATATTGCATCTCTTATTTTATGTTGAAAATAAGAAGAGTTAATGTATCAAAAGTAGATGCCCTTTGTTTAGAGCTAGAAGAACCAAAGGAACTAAGCATTCAGCAAACATGATTAAAAAGCAGGTAGGGCAATAAATGAGTACCGTATGAAATAGATAGCAATATATAAGGAAAATGATTTTTAGATTAAAGCATAGGGCAATAATTCAATCAAAGGCAAGACATGATATTGATAGTTACATGCATTTGGAATTAGGAATTAAAATCCCTAATGATAAGCTATTTCCTGTTTCGTTTCAGATAATTTTGAAATCTCCCGAGGCAAAAAGATTTTTTTTTCTTTTGCCTCTTCTCATGTAAGAGAGATTATGTGAAAAATAAAGAAAAAAAGAAACGAAAATTGGATATTTTTCAGAAAAAAAAGGCCCCTTTAATAACATTTATGAGGTGCATAATTTACTTATAAAAAGTTTCGAACTTATAATTTTTGATATAGCATATTAAGAAATTTAACACATGTCAACATTGATTCCAATATATATATATATATATATATATATATATATATATATATATATATATATATATATATATATATATATATATATATATATATCCACTTCTAACAAAAAAATAAAAACAAAAAGTACTCACTCCTATGGAGGGATACTTAAGTAATTTAGTTTTTAGAATTTTCCTCTTTTAGTGTAAGGGGGCCCCACACAGTGGCTTCCTGTAGCTCGGTGGTCAGCAGAAAGCTCTGCAAACCTGCATATTTATGCTGGCTTGTCCAATCACCAATCGAAAGATATTTAATAAGAAGAATGCGTGGTGCATACCTGCAGAGGGTGGACATAACACCACCACCACCACCAAATATTATGGACTCATAGGAATGCACAGTGGCTTCCAATAGCACGGTGGTCAGCAGAAAGCTCTGCAAACCTGCATATTTATGCTGACTTGTCCAATCACCCATCGAATGATCTTTAATAAGAAGAATGCGTGGTGTATACCTGCAGAGGGCGGACATAACACCACCACCACCACCAAATATTATGGACTCATAGGAATGTGAGACACGTACGAAGAAATATGTGGTGTCTCATGAGATTTGCAAATAAAGAGAAGCACAGGTAAAAGTTTTGCATCTTTACAAATCTCATCCTACCACTTGCAACAACATCCAGCTTCATAGAAAACGCCTCCATTGGCCATTAATCAGACAACTAACTACTATTATTCAGCTATAATGTCATGACCAAACATTTAAGTGTTGTAACCTTTAGTACTTGAAAAAACAATAAATTTTGATTTTAATTTTTTCTGGAAGTAGCATCTACATATCTGAATGAATCTGATGGCTCCTTTTGATCTAAAGATGTGCAAGCTGGCATGGTTACATCATCATCAAAATCAAATACTAGGACAACTGGATGTTTTCTAACATGTCTATGTCTAAGTGCAATGCGTTCTAATGGGGCGGCTGAGTGCAGTGAGTTACTAATGGGGCCAAAGAAAGGCTCAGGAATTACGTTTGTCTAACGTTTTGATTGAAGTCCTTGTAGATGAAACTGTTGGTCAGAGAATCTGTTGTTTACAACTTTGTCCGGAGTATGATGTTTCCCTCTTCTCTGAGGGGATATATCAACTGCGAGTTAGATGGGAGTAACCTCCTAGGTTGAATGTTGATGTCTCATGGAGCAATGACCTCAACGAGGGGAGGAATAGGCTGTCTTATTTGCTGCGGGCTGAAACTATGTTTGGACACGTCTCCCTTCGCTCAGCGATGCACCTAAAAAGCTCCATCACCGGGTATGATGCAATGCACTGGAGCATGTTTACAAACCCCGGACTATATAGCCTGGTTTGGTAGCTGGATAACTACATTGATACGTAATATAATTACAATGGGTTGGGATACGTTCTGTCATCCTCGTTCAGCCCCCCTAGCTTTGTTTGTAAGTCATTCATGGTGTGCACCAAACGACGGTGGCATAACTCTACATCTAGATGATAAGGATCATGTTAATTTCTAACAGTGGGTTGTCCCCTTTAAAATAAATAGGGTAACTGTGGAGGAGACAGTAAGACAGTGCAATCTCTGGCCTAACTCGTCCTCTATGACCCAGAGCAGTGAATACACTGGCAGAGAGCTCTGGGGCAATATTAGGCTAAGCCTAGATGTTCTACTGTGTCCAGCTACAGTAGACAGCAAATGTGTAGACATGACTGCACAGACATTTAATCTACAATTTCTAAGGGGGGGTTTTTTTTTTGGACTGATCAAAATGTCTAAGCTCACGAACAGATTATACATAGACTTACAAACATGTGTTTAGAGAACAAGCAACGTTTACATAAACCGTCAAGTATATCAATACAAAGGAAAAGATTTGAAATCTTTTTTCTATTTTTATTTTAGTAAAAAAATCCTGATTAAAGCACCAAGGAACTATAATTCAACAAATGTGGCATCACAGATAATTAAGTGAAAGACGTGTGTAAGTTTAGAACATTAATGATAACATGGAATCAATTTCAATGTGTGATTCAAATCTGACTATCATAAAATATTCCATGTCAAAAATGATTCCAAGCGAACTTGGCAGTGAAATAGGGTCAGTGGACTTACGCTTCCACGATGAATCGAGTCCAGCAAAACTTCTGCAGACTGTCCAACTAGAAGTTTGAGGCTTTCTGGTTTCTCCCTTTAACTTCATTTTCAGAGTACAACTGCAACCTAAATAAAATATTGTCAGAAAAACTTCCCTTCCGATAGGTAGCATCAAACACTCAGTCATGAACAAAAGGTTTACAAGATGAAAGTTTTAAGTTTACAAGATCCATAGCTTACCTCATCCAGCATGTCAATGTTAATTGACATCATCATCCACAAGAAGAGTGTGACAACCTTCTAAATATTAATCATATGCACTTGTTGTGAAGTCCAAATCATGAAGCAAATATTAATTATGCAAATGTTATCCCCTTATTCTCTAATGACACATGGTAATCGAAATAAAAAACACATTGCCTAAGGGAAATGAATAATACAGGAATTGCAGCACAGCATGCCAAATAGTAGACTAGGTAACAGCTTAAATGTCCCAGAAACATTCATTTAGATATTCGTCAAGTAGTTACTCTCTAGTTAAAAAAATGCAAAAAAAATTGAATTCAAGTACATATAATACAATCCTTATACCCAAGTGAGAACAAAGGGAACATTAAGAAAAGCCAATCACTGAATTCCATGTTAAAGGGGCACACTATCTGATGGGACATCACAGTTCCCTCGTAAGACAATCTCTTAACCATCATGTAGTATGAGCAACGTTTACCTGAAGCCAGAACAATAAAATAAATAAAGAGAGACTAAAGTAGCCAGAAAAAAATGAAGTCACCAAAGAGAGACTGAAATATTTGCCAAATAAACAAGAATATAAGGACAAAAGTAGTTAGCTCCTCTACAAGTTCCCTGTAAGCTAATTAATTGATCATTTGATCTCATAAATATCTAAAATTTTTCTCACATGTGGACATATAATATAGGTAAGACAATGATATGTCGAAGATAAGTAAAATAACAATAACAAATTCGTGGAATCATTCTCTCAGTCAATCCAGAATTCATGTGTGGTTAAACTTAGCCAAAATAATTGCCAGTGAGTCGTTACTCCTTTACATTTTAGCCAAAACATCAAAAGAGCAGTGTTTCAACATTAGCAGCAGTTTATACTCATCACTTGCAACCCTAGATAAATCATGTGACGACAGCATACCGGATCAGTGCACTATTCCATTTCACCAATTCCATCTGATTCCCATCAATTCCCTCAAGTGTTCCAGAAGTCAAAGCAATCATGCTACTGAATTGCCAGTTCTAGTTTTGAGTTCTTTCCTACAAAAGTCATGCATCAAAAGGCAAAATGTTTACTGCAAGTCTTAGTTTCTTACCACAGAAAAGTATATCATATTTAAATAAGATGTATTTGCAAGATACAACTTGGTCATGAAGATGATCAGAACTTCTTGTAAGGTCATTTGTCATTTGAGCAGAACTGTTTTATTTAACATGTACAGGTATCAAGGTCAAGAAGCAAACACCTGGAGAAATCATTGGAATCGTAATAATCAAAAGCAATGAACAAAACTAACCTTAATTTTCAACAGGCAAGACCATCAGTTACATGTAAAGTCCCTCTGGCACACCTTCCTGCTTCTTAAACATTACCTTTTCCTTGGCCTTCTTGAAGTCAGCATGAGTTACCTGAGCAAAAAGTGATGTAGAGGCAAGTGACAGCAATGCATAGCTGAAAATACGTGGATACTCAGGAAGTAAAATATAAAGCATATTGACACTAGTTTAAACTCAGTCAGACCAAAAACAAAAAATGCGTTGCGGTACAGTTGCCGAGCAAGAGTGTCCCTCAGTATAGCCCTACCAAATCTGATTTGTAAAACATAGTAAACACAAACCAATGATGCTATTAAAGGATATGTTTGGATGTTAATTATAAAGTCCTTTGCATGGAACCAAAATCAGAGATGTGACCTTTTACGGTTGAAATACACTTAAAGAAGCATGATAGAAGTCTCTATGACCAAAATGATAATACCTGACAATATCACTACAGTAACCAATACATATTATTTAATTATGACTTTAGGGAAAAGAATACTAATATACAGTTTACTGGTAGTTGCATGGCCTACCTTCATCCTGCGTTCTCTTAAAGCAAGCAAGCCAGCTTCAGTACAGATCACCTTTATATCAGCTCCAGAAAACTCATCTTTCGTCATTGCAAACTCTTCAAGATTGACATCATCCGCCAGTGTCATTCTAGAGGTATGTATCTAAAGACATTGATAGGAAAAAGAAAATAAAAAAAAAAACTAACAAAGGGAGGACAAGCATGAACTGATGTCATACCAAGCATAATTTGTAGTTAATGAAACATAACATACCTGAAAAATACATCATCTTGTTTTAATATCTGGCGATGGAAATTCAATCTTCCTATCAATACAACCAGGCTGAAGCAAGGCTGGATCAAGGATTTCAATTCTGTTGGTCACAAGAATGACCTAAACATCCCCCCTTAAGTCAAAACCATCAAACCAGTTCAGCAACTCCAACATGGTTCTCTGTGTCTCATGCTCACCACCAGAATGAGCATCATATCTAGAAATGATCATGTAGAAAGTTCAATAAAATGAAATGTCATTCACACACAACACAAAGGGCAAATTTTTAAATTTGTTTAGACCCCTTTTGGTGCCAATTGCATCTATGTCATCAATAAATACTATGGAAGGAGAGAATTCACCTGCCACTCTGAAGTGTTCTCTGACAAGTTTTGGACCATCACCCAAATATTTCTGAATCAGCTCACTTCCAACAATGCATAAGAAAGTTGCTGATGTTGAGTTAGCCACTGCCTGAAATTGGAATGCTCAGAAATAGTCCGAAGAGGAGGAGTTTTATACTAACTGGTGCAAATGTCAACATCAGCATTGAAATTACTAGGGCACATAAAGTCTGTACCAAAAGTCTGCAGGAACTATTTAGGTAGTAAACAACATTAAAGATAATTTCAACCCTGAAAATGTGCCTCAATCGAACTTTTTTTCTTTTAATGAACCAGGACCGTTTAGATTTTAATTACAAAAAGTTTATATTGGTAAATGAACAAATACATATCAATAGTAACATAGGTTCTCATTAAGTATGTATTTAGTCATAAGAAATACTAATGGATAAACTAGCTTATATGAATCATCAAAAATGGATAGAGAAATACCTGTCTAAGAAATACACCCACTCAATTGTGGTCAGATATTGCACACACAATACATAGGCAAACAGATACAGAGAGAGAATGGTGAGAGGAAAGACAATATCAAAATTGTGTCGAAAAGTCCATGTTCCAGTATTCACATGCTACCTCGAAGTTCGCCAAAATCAAGAATACTAAATTAAAAGAATGGTCTGACCTTGGCAAGTAAAGTTTTACCAGTTCCAGGCTCTCCATATAATATGACTCCCTTGGGAGGTCTAATTCCAATATTTTCATACAGCTCTGGATGTGTCAAAGGAAGTTCAACTGATTCTTTAAATTTCTTGAATTTGTGCATCTAAGCCACCAATATCAGCATACAATTCCAAAGGAGCTTTTTCAACTTTCATAACAGAAACCATATGATCAACTTCATCATGAAGAAGCCCAACAACAGATAAGACCTGCCACACAAAAATAAAATACCAATAAATCAACATATCCTAATTTCTTTTGTAAAATTTAAAAAGTATATGGAATTAAGCTGCATTTTGGAAACTAATCATAATCATGCAAAGTGAAATTACATAAAAGGTAAGGGGATAAGATAGTTTCAGAATGACAGGTACTGTAATGCTAAAAACACTTCTGCATCAAAACAAAATATCAAGCTAGATGCCAAGGATTACAATTTCGAATAATACCGCCTATACCAGGCGACACGTATCGGTCCGTCAGTTGACCGGTACACGGACTGCCCGTTACCGGATGGAATATATATATATACAAGGCGACGTCGCCGAAAAAGATGATGCAACGTCGCCTTTTATAAAAATATATAATATTATATATATATATATATATATATATATATATATATATATATATATATATATAAACGAGGCGACGTCGTCGCCTAGGAGAAGAGAGAGGTGACGTCGCCGAATTTTATATATATATACATATATATATATACCGAGCGGTATACCGTTCGGTATACAGTATCATACCATACTGAGCGAATGTCGAAACTCCGGTATGGTACGATATTTCAATCCTTACTAGATGCAGTGTTCATAACTTTCTCCAACTACACCTATAAACAGGTCAAGTAGCATTTTGGTTCAACCTAAAACATGAGTGCCAATTTACTTGGTTTCAGTTAGACTTAATGGTTAGAAACAAGAAATCACACAAGAATTCAGAATAAGTGTGAACCAGCTACAGGAAAGCTGTTCAACAAGTAATATTACAACCCCTGCTACTCCATCTTAAAAATAACATTGGAACAAGACTTCAGGAAAAATAAATAAGCCGGAGAGATAATTCCCTTGCATCTTTATGATATTTTGGAGTCATTGTAAAAAACTTCGAGAAACAGTAAAAATACTAGGAAAGAAAAGAAGCAAGACATATAATATCATTTGGAATCATCTGGCCAAATTTCTTTTCACATTTATGCTGTGTACGACTATTAACAGCAAGCAGACTACTTCATAAATTAAAAGTAAGAAGACCACAGAGCGAATACGTATCTAACTACTTAAAAATATCAACGAAAATGACTCAAACCTTATCAAAGACCTCGACTCAAACCAAAAAAAGATATCACAAATTAATCATTGAAGCTAAATCAAATAATTTAAAACGTTATTAGGAATTGAAATCAACTAGAGCACAGAATATCTTATTAGTAAAAAAAAAATCAAGGTAATAGGTTCCTGTAATGGGGTCGTTTTATTCAATGACTCGTCGAATTCAAAAAAGGCAAGAGCCTGAGAAGCCAAAAAACCGGAGGATTTCCTGGAACTTCTTTCGTGGGTGCTATACATCTGGTCATACAAAGTGCATCATACAGCTGATGAATATAGCACACTAACCATGCATACTATCAGAAAGAGGCTTATATAAATGAACATTTTGCCACAGATATTAGAAAATAGGTTGGCAAATATATGATCAACTTTGACTGCCAAAAAGGAAAAGTAGTCTTTGAATTTTTTTCCTAATTTTCAGATCCAACTACAATTAGCTTATAGATTTCAACAAAGCCCTATTGTACCTGTTCTTCTCTCTCTACCCTACCCAATTTCTGTCCTCTTCACCCTATTGAAGACACAACTACACTTGTGCTTTCAGATCTACACTTATTCCCTTCCGTGAAACCAACCACATCATCACCATTTGCCACCGATATCACATATTGGCATAAGATGCCCTAAGCATACACAGACCAATTAGTTGCCAGGGACCAATGCAATTCATATATTCTTTACTGCTTATAACTTCCACACAGTTCCTTGATAGCACACTAGGAAACTGAACACACCAAAGACAGCCTGACCATTCTAGCGTCCGGACTTAGTAAAGCATCTTTTAAACTAACCATGAAGACCAAATACTCGTAAGCTATCCCGAACACTAGAAAATTTGCTATAACTATGAAGAAGACAATCCCCATCTCATACGCCAAAAGTGTTCGCCGATCCCAAATGATCAGTCCAAACCTCAAACCCTAATTAATCATTTAGATCAAAAACTGACCTTGGTATGCATAAGGATCGCACATCCCGGTTCCAGCTGATCCTTGTCGACAAAGGACAGGATGCTAACGTAGTACTCCGGCCCGACCGACGAGGAAACAATGGCATGGATCTCTCATCAATGAGCTCCTCTAGATTCCCAACGCTCATCGGCGACCCCCGGAGGTCGTCGACCTTGGATCGGTCCTCCTCGTTCTTCTCCTCCTGGGGGCGGAGGCGCTCCTGGTTGGCGACGAACTCCTCCTCCATGAAGGGGTAGTTCTTGACGCGCTCGAGCTTGAGGAGGCGGAGGCGGCACTTGGAGAGGAGCGTAACGACAGGGAGGCGAGCAGCGTCCTCGGGACCCTTCTGCTTGCACTGCTTCCGGCCGACGCGGGACGGCGGGGCCGCCGGCTCGAACTTCCTGTCCTTCTTATCGCCGTCGCGCTTCCGATCGCCGGGGAGGCCCTGCTCCCCCATGCCGCCGGGGTTCCCTGGCCCATGCATGGATCCTAGGGTTTCGAGGGTTCCCGAGGTGTTCGAGCCCGAGAGGAGAAGAGGAAGGCTTCGCCAACGGGCAAGAAGAAAGACGTCGAATCGAGGCCTTTATTCGTCGATGACTCGAAGAAGAAGAAATTTGGGCTTCAAATTTACAAATGAGCCCAACATAATTTTAGATAGGAAAAAATAAATATAAAACGCTTCTCAAAATTTGAGATTTATTTGAAATTTTAATTATTTTAAAATGCATTACAGATAATGATGACATATAATGTTAAATGATTATGCAATTAATACACTATATGTTTATGTATGTAATGCTTGTAATGTGTTGTGTGGATGTTGGAAAACATTAATCTACCAATTTAGAAAACTAGATAACAAAAAAAGATAGATAAGTGTGCATCTTCTAAACATTTGAGAGACTAAGACCCAAACAAAAGAGGTGAAGGACAGGTTGATAATACACATCATCATCAAAGTTTATCATCTCATCATAAATAAATAAATAAAAAGTGTTTATAATTTATTATAATATCATATAACTTGAATCCCACATTTATCATTTTATTTTTTTAAATAATATAGGCATCAAACAAATTTTCAAGTCAAGCTACAATTAGTTGTCAATTTAAACATAGCAAAAGAACTTTTGGCAAGGATACTAATGCCACTGGGTAATTGACCCAATTACCAAAAAAAAATTCAATTTGATTTTATCCCTATATAATAAATTATCAATTTTTCTAGTTACCACAAATGAAATTATCTCTTTTATAGGTTATTGCAATAACTTATCAAGTAATAGAGAAAAAAGCTTAGAGAATGACATTGCAATGCCTTGTATTGACAAACTTCTGCCACTGATACTTGTCAATTTATAATTTTGAGGATTAACCATTAATGCATGATTTGATTAGTAGTCACAGTAAACAAATTATCTAATAGAATAACTAACCTATTAACCTCATTGGGTTTAGACCACTAACTTAAAATAATATTCTCACTATATCATAAAAGTCAATCTATATTTTAACCTACATTTATTTAATATGGGATTGAATCATACTATTATAATATCTCCACTTAGAAGCTTTAAGTTTTTTAGCATAGTTCAAAATCAAATTCTAACTCTAGAGTTATTGTTTATTAGTTGCGGAACTTTTATACCATGGCCGAGGTATCAGCACGACTCGAGCCAGTACCGGATGTATGAGGTTGCCCATGTGGATGCTCAGGTGGTGAGAGCGAGTGTTTGGTCAGGTCAGGTTCGAGCTGTGTTCTCCGATCATGGTATTTTTCTCTTGGCGAGTGACTTACTGGCCCACTCACGGGCTCCTACACACTGATGAAGGTCAAGAGGGGGTTTCCCGACTCGACCCCTCCAAAGCTTAAATTAGTTTTTTTGTGAAATGAAAGAGAGTAATCTCTTCGAAGTCCTTTTGCACTGATCAAGTGATGGGATTTTATACCTTCACTCGGAGATCGATCGTGCTCCATATGTTAATGATCGCTGACCCCTCAAGCGATCGGCTCATGCCTTCGTATGCGGTCGACGTGTACGGATTGTCCCCGAGTGGTGCCGTCCTGAGGATTTCGAGGTGGCTCTATACTCAACGACGTTGCTTATACGAGTCGTCCTCGAGCGACGTCGTCTCGAGCATTCCGGGATGACTCTATGCTCGACTGTGTTGCTTGTACGACCTTGCACAAGCTGGGAGGATGACCACGTTATCCGAGCTGTCAATGTGGTCTGTCATAATGTCTTGTAAATTCCATGTTGGTGTTGTCATGGCCCCATTATGCTGTCGGAGGGCATGCCGTGAAATTGCGCCCTATCACTATTTGATTTGATTTGATAACTATATATTGGTTCACGTTGATACGTTGAAATAATATTCTAAAATATCGTATATATATATATATAATTAGAGTTTTTTATATTTTCAAAATACCAATAATCACTCGATCTGGATTAGATATTTGAAATCACTAACTAATTTATTTGATTAATATTTTATATGATCGATTAAAATTCATCTTAATCGTTTATTTTTTTTATTATATATAATATTAAATTATGAAAAATATTGATAGGAAAAAGTCGAAAAGAGAAATGCCAATTTGGTGTCAAGTGGTTGCGGTCATCAGCAAACCTTCCATTTAATTCCATCTTTATCCGATCCTTATCCACAACGCGGAGTTGGAAGCCCACCTCACCATCGCACGTGTCCTCCGCCGCCTCACCATACTCGGTAGCAGCGAAGGTTCGTGAACCCCGTCCCACACGCCGACAATTCCACCATGATGCCGTCCCCTTCACCCGAAAAAAGACCAAATTACCCTTACACTCCCCCGCGTCACCTTCTAGTTTACCCCTCACTGAAAAGTCTTTAACAAAATAAATTGAATATATTAGTTCAATTAAAAAAATAAAAGAAGTCGAATGAAGATAATCCACTAAATAATTATTGTATGTTATTGTTCGTCTTACATGAAACCAAATGTATTATATAGAATTTGGTAGATGATTCCCGAGGAGGGGAAGAGGGGGAGGGGTGTTCGAGGGCAAAATCGTACTTTTGAAGGACGTTAAGCGCCACGTACGCTACGGTCCCATGGCACGTGTAAGGCAGCTGACCGAGTCCACGTCATGCCCCATCATCTTGCTTGCTTGTGTTATAAGCAGTAGCTGCCTTCCGACTTCGTCGTCCTCGGCCGACACGTCTCCGCCGCCGCCGCCGCCGCCTATTCATTTCCGATTTCCTCTCCTCCCTTCTTCCTCATAGTTTCGCGATCAGGGCTTGGGTTCGTTCCTCGAGATCACGGGTTGCGGAAGAGATTGCGTGAGACCGGAGTTCTAGGTTTTCCACGCGGATTTCTTGGGCGGTTCTTTTCGGGCCTTTTCTCTCTCTCTCTTTCTTCTTTGTTTGTTTGGGAGGGTCTCTGATGGTTCATTTGGCGAGTTACGGCAAGCTGCATTCGGAGGCCGAGCTGCCGATCAAGAAGAGACTACCGCCGCCGCAGCCGCAGCCGCCGTCGTCCAAGGTGAAGTTGGAGATTGAGGACCAATTGGAGGACCAGCATGGGCCGCTCAACAAGAGACCCAAGGTTGCTGATCCTCATCTCCAGCAGGTGCTTCACTTTACTTCTTTTGTCTTTGTTCAAGCAAAAGCCTAAATTTTTGCGAATTCCTTGGTGTCTGCCTTCGCTTGCAGATGATTCTCAAGTCCTCTCAAAGAAATACTTGATCTGATTGTGTTTGGGGGTTTCTGATGATGAATTTCCTCCATTTATATCTTTTCGGGTACCTCGTGAAACCGACTGTTAAAAAGTTGGGTTTTTTGGGGGGATTTTTGGAACCTAAAAACGTGTGATAAAAGATCCACAAGTATTAAGAATGAAACCTTTTTTATGGATCATGTTTAATGTTGCTTTGCCAACTCTTCTCCCTTTTTTTTATGTAAGAGTTGAATTGGTGTGTACTGCGATAGGCAATTGCTATTCTTTCTTCATTGCAAAATTTGTTCGTTAAGACAAAACTACTCTGTAGTTCTGCATATTTACTAACTAAATTGGTGTCTGATAGCAGTGGGGAACAGGAAAAGATATGCCTCTAACAGAGGGTGTTCAGTATGATCTACTTGATGAGCCAAGTCCACTGGGACTTCGCCTGCGAAAGAGTCCATCACTGCTGGATTTGATTCAGATGAGATTGTCTCAAGCAAATGCGGCTGTTACTTCACACAGCATGGAAAATGAAGGCTTGGGGGATGAAAAAAATAAAGAAACTAGGTCAAGCAGTGCTCTGGCTACCACCGAAAAGATGAAAGCATCAAACTTTCCGGCTTCCATTTTGAGGATTGGGAGTTGGGAGGTAATCCCAAATTCTCGATTATGTTTGTTGGAATGTGATTACTCTCTTTACTATTAGCATTGCGAACCAAGAAAAAAATTTGAGTAGAGAACTTTTTCATGTGGCTAAATAACCAAATCCTTTGTTAGCTATATAATTTGAACTACCAGATTATAGAAATATGGTTAATTCATATAAAATCACTCATGTTTTGTTTGCTTTGAAGTTTGTCTTGAAGTTATTCTCATATTCGGTATAGCCAACACACCTGATCATATAGATCTTCACATCTTGTTTTCTGTAGTTACTATATATATGAAAGCTAGCTTTGACATTAGCTATTTTATGCCTCATTAAGCCATGTTTTTTTACTTCTGCCCAAGTAGTTTGAAGTTGTGTAGTCTGGATGGATCCTCTTTCTTTCTCTACATCTAACATGGTAGACTTATACCAACGCATGATATTAACATAAAAGAGCTGAGTCAGTAAATCTATACACCTTTCTCTTAGGTTGTTAATAATAAAGAGTGAGCACAGCGTTGCCTGTGAAGTTGAAATGTTGTGCATTACCATTCCATAATCGGCATGATTGCCTTTATTTTATGTACTGGCATAATCCGCTGCAAGCGCTTATCCTGCATTCTAGGTTGGTCAGATGTTAATGGAGCATGAGAAGCTCTCAACTCGGTGGAGTTATGAATTTTAACCATTCTCTTTTCTTTTTTTAAACGCAGTATGTGTCGAGGTATGAAGGTGATTTAGTAGCCAAGTGCTACTTCGCAAAGCGAAAACTTGTATGGGAGATTCTCGAAGGAGGTCTTAAGAGCAAGATTGAGATCCAGTGGTCAGATATCACAGCTCTCAAAGCAAATTGCCCCGAAGATGGACCTGGAACTTTGGATGTAGTGGTAAATTATATTTGTAATAAAATTGAGATCCAGTGGTCATTCGAGAGTTTTGTCAAGACTTCTTGATTTGTAATATAACATTTATATCTTATATGCAGTCGGCTAGGCAGCCTCTTTTCTTTAGAGAGACCAATCCACAGCCTAGGAAGCACACATTGTGGCAAGCGACTTCAGATTTCACTGATGGGCAAGCAAGCATTCACAGGTAAACTTATTTCCTGCATTGGTTAATTGATGGAGTGAGGATTGTGCTGTTGATTTATTATCTTACTTTACCATTATACCAGCATTTAGGAATCAACACTGCCTATTTCCTGCATGAGAACATATGATTTTGGGCAAAGTGATTGGAACTGCCTTTCTCATCGTGATGTATATTTGTCGC